ATAGTTTAAAGCACATTTTTCAAGAGTCTTGAAATCCAGGTCCCTCCTGCAGTCATATTGTGAGTGAGCATCATTACCCTAAACCACAGTCTGCGTGTTTGAAATGAATACAGATGTATCAGGAAACAGAGTAAGTGATAAGATTAAATACTTCACTGGACAAGCAGACTTTGAGTACACAGAATTGAAACTAACCAATTTTCAAAAAATTAGCAATGGTCATGGAGTGGGTGACATTTGCTGTGGGTGATTTTAGAATAAATACTATATACCAGGTACAATTTTCCAGCGAAGAGTATAGAAAGAATCCACTAAGACCTAATGTATTTTTCATGTACATTAGTCAAGGTACTGCTGACACTAACTTCTAAAAAATGTTTTATTCATATTCCTGATTGATATGTAAAGTTTTGAAAGGTTAGTGCCATTATTTTAGTAGTAGAGAATCAGAGATTTTATATAAAGAGTTCACAAGCAGAATGACTGCCAGTCACTCAGAAGGTTTATAGTGAAGAGTAACGGTCTTAAAGTCAGGACTGGATTCAAGCCCCAGGTGTCCACTAAACAGCTATGTGTTCTACACAGTTTCCTGGTGTGGCAAGTGTGACAGAAGCACAGATAAAAGTCTCTCTTCTGTGATCTTGTATCTTATCCCAGTTGAAGAGACAGACAAAAACCCAGCAAAAGACCCACGTGAGAACATGCAGCTCTGGTGTGCCAAGGAGGGGATCACCAGTCCTCAAGGGCAAGGGAGAGCATGAGATTGATGCGGAGTTGAAAAGGTGAACAGGAATCACTGTTTCCTGGGGCAGAGGAGCAGGAGGCAGCAGGAAGAACCAGGACACATGTCTCGGATAGGCCATTCTGAGGGCATTTAGGGAATGGGAGGAAGTAACTTCATCAGCTATCAACTGACATGAAACGAATGCTGCTGCAAATGGTGTGAAAAATCCCATGTGAAATCTTGAGAATGACTCCAAGTAGCAGATCTTTGGTAGTCAACATTGGGCAGTGTGGTACATATCGTCATCAGTACTACTATCCTGCTACTTACGTCAGGCAAGAGATTCTCTGAAGGTTTGAGAACACTTCAAACCCTAGTATTTTCACGGCAACAACAATAATAACAACAACAAAGAGAAAAAACTTAAATCTGTGCTTTACACAAAACTATTTGTTTTTGATGTTCCTTACATGTTCATGGTATTTTAATTTTGATAACTCAGTCTCAAAATACATTGTACTCACTGGTTTCTGAAAAATGTTCGCCTTAAGAAAATGCAGAACATATCAAAAGTACTGAGTTGTTATGGTTTCATGGCAGATAGAAGGAAATAGGATATAGTACTAAGTCCAGGAACATGACTTAAAGAAGACCAGGACATAGAAGTGAAAATAATGCTTTCACAGAAAATAAGCCACTTCCCGACTAAACTTCTGAGATCAAGAACATCTTAGCATGAAAGTCACATATGAATAGCCTTGAAATCATACACAAAGCCAAGCAATAAAATAGAATTTTTCTTCTTCTTAAGGAGCTATTTTCCACTTTATAGTTTCAAAACTGGCAAAAAGATTTAAGTTATTTTATGTCTTTTTTGTTTGCTTATATGCAACAGCATGTGTAAACAGGAGCACATCTGTGTGCCTTTTACCTCCGAGTGTACATATGGAACTAATTTAAAATGAAAAGTAAGTTCTGGAATTTTTCTGAGATGCAATTACATTTATGAACATGTGACATGTGAGAGATCAGAAACAAAGTATTAGAAAAAGTTCATTAATCCCATGAAGTCTATATTGGAAAAAGTACTAAGAAGAATCACTTCTGGATGTTAGATGTTTTACTTTGTATTTTTCTACCACTAAATCCTATTAATTTGAAATTTATATTAGACTTAGGAGAACTTAAGAGTCAATATTTGGAATTTAGGCCTTATGCTTGAAATGCACACACAGAAGAAAAAAGTCAATTTAATTGAAGAAAAGAAACAGGAAAAAATGTAGTAAAAGAATGTCTTATAGATATAATTAAAAGATAACAGCCTGATGGAAAAATGTTGATTAAACCATTTCTACATCTAGAAAGTACACATTTATACATCCAGAATAGTACATATAAGAGGAAAAGGATGAAGAAAGACATCAATGTTTAATGTTGTTACTAATTTAAAAAAAAAGCAAAAGAACACCTACAATATACATATCAGGAGGTTTAATTTGTAATCATCCTAGGGTAATTAATCATTGATTGCTGATGGCATGTCAATAATTTTGAAATCCAATGAAAAAAATCACTTAAAGATTAATTGGAAAAAAGTAGTAAAAAGAAAATTTGATCCCTGCAGAAAGTGCTTTATGGAATAATGAAAAACTTTAAAAGAGATGACCCCCTTACCAATTTTTTGAAAAATAAAACTTTTTCAAATTTGGTACTTATCTATATCATTTTAAACAATGCTTAGTTAGGAAGATTCCAAAAGATTGGTGCATACTCAACCTAAGCCTTGAAAGAATGGGAAGTCTCTGTATTTTATTTCTTTTTTAATCGTTGAGTGTATTTTACAATAAATTAAAGTTGATATTTTTCCTTGAGATAAATTAGTCCTATAATGTTCAATGTGGTATGGCCTGTGACGATTTTTTTTCATATGAATAAGAATACAAATTGTCAGTTAATATTAACCTTTAAAATATATCTTTTCTCAGGCCTAATGATAATATAAACTGTAAAAGAATAATAATACACACAGCAATATCAATATTTCTACAATATATCAAAATTAAATAAAATTATATAATCACTAAGAAGTCATACTATTTTATTTTATTTTTTTGTACCGGGGATCGAACTTGGATTCTTGCGCTTGTGAGGCAGGCCACCGAAACGCTGAGCTAAATCCCCGGCCCCAATACTATTTTCAATTAAAAGATATATTACCTACAATCACATTTCTGGTTACAATGCCTAATTAACAAGATTAAAAAAGTTACCCATGAGAAACAATTAAAGTAAGAAGATAGCCCTAATATCATCAAGTGAGTGTTTTCATAGTGTGGATTTATTGGATATATTTGGGCACAGACAGGGAGAAATACATACCTTAACACCCATATATCATTGCTAGGACAAGCAGTTTTTGATAGTTTGCCAGAATTCAACATACTCTCCCAAATTTGTGTTAGATTTTGGCTACATTCCTTAATTTAGTTTTATGTTCATTTGCAAAGATAGTGAAGTCCAACGCCTGAGCTGAGATAGACAAAAGTCTTCCAAGACTCATACCATTTAGCTTTTGAATAAGCATATGTATAGAAGTATAAACTACTTTTTCAAATAGTAAAACACATTAGCCAAAGACATTTTTATCAGATGACTAATGTCCCTTGAAATTCATGAATATACATTAACAAAATGATACAGTAACAATTTCATGCATAAAAATTTGCTTATGCACATTTTTAAACCTCTCCTTATCTTTGGGGAAACTGTGTTAGTCTTTTAGCTGAAAAGATTTCATGACAGAACTGGGGTAGGCAGCTCATAACGCAGGGAACTCGGTAGGCACCCTCCCCAGAGGATTTCCAACAGAAGAGCAAGTGACACAGACAGCACCAGCCCTGCAGCTGGGCTGGGCTTAGTCTTCCTCAACACAGCAGAGCTGACCTGAAACTAGGAATTTGAAAGCTGAAACTGAGAAATTGGTTTTACCATGTATTCTTCAGAAAACTCTGAACACTCTTAAATGTTTGAGTTTAGAAGAAGTAAGCATACTCAAAGGAACTAGACAGGCTTAATGAAAATAAACTGTTGCCACTAGGATTTAAGGGTATGGACACAAATCTTTTCAGAACACAATATTGAAAAATGCCTAATTCTGTGGGTTGATTACTTTGTGAAAAGTCAACAGTAACAGAGTAGGAAACTAGCAAAATCAATATGAATAAATTGATTTTCTGACTGTTTTTGGAACTTGTAGCACATTTTCACACTTTTTGTCAGGTTCAAATATTCCTATGAATATTTTCAACTTTTCTATAATGGCTTCACAATACCAAACTAAATTTTCAAATGGAGAATTCTCACTAATGAATATTCTTTTTCACAACAGTTTGGATAAAAAATATGGAAATATTTCCACATTTCCATAAAAACATGTCTGTTACAACAACAGATCTATTTATTTACTCAGTGTATTTTTTGGAAAGTTTATTATGCTTAGCTCAATTTCAGCAAAAATTTCTACAAACTGTCCTTTATGGGATTATATGTCTTATATCTTCAAGATGAAAAAAGTGACATAACGTACATATTCAAGTGTCCTTTAGCATGGAAATTTACTTTAAGTCAGTATACACCATGATTGATGTATTCTAGTTGAAAACATTCAGGAGCTGAAAATAAAAATAAGTATTGAAAAAATTCATTATTTCTCAAATTGTTTATTTGCCAGAACGTCTGATTTATAGAAATAGTCCTGTTGCTTAAACATCTACTAGATACAATCCTAGGTCTTCCCAAGTTTTAATTAAAACTGAAGTAGGCAATGACATATATTTTGCAAAAGGACATAACTAAATTAAATATAAAGTATACAAGAAGAAGAGGGAAGGGACAAGGGGAAAAATGAGAATCAAGACCTATTATGTAAAGGTACAGAATCCCAATGATGAATGTAATTGTATTGTATACCTAGATTGTACCAATAACCTCAATAAAAAGAAAAAAAAAAGAAGAAATGTAGTTATATTAGCAGAATGAACAAGATCACTTCAGTCCTACTATTGTGAAAAGAGCATACCCAAAAAAGAAAAACTGTTTGCTGCATAATTTGAACTAATTTGGACAAGATAAGGCTTAAGAAATCCATCCTGCATTGAAGTTAGCTCCTGACAGTCTACTTGCCTGATTTGTTTGGGTTGTGCGGAACAGCCCAGGGGTCAGATCAAGGCGAGGAGAGATCCGCCTCGAGAGCTGAGCACCCTGGCTCCTCTCTTACCTTCCACTGAGGAGGAAGCCAATGACCACTGCCAACAGAATGACTCCCACTGTCACGGACACAGCAATGATAGGGATCTGGCTTTGATCGCTGGATGCTGCCACTGCTGTTGGAGACACAGAAAACAGAGCTTACAGTTCACATGGTCGTGTGCATCCAAAAGAAGAGCTGCCAGTAGTTGGGAATCAATTTATAGTTTAAGCAATTCACTCACATTTGGCTTTCTCCATAATAACTCTTCCCAAAAGTATGTAATTGAAAAGGCACCCTTAGGAGAAAATATTTACTCTCCAAATAGAAATCTGAAAGCATCCCTAAGTCATTGATTATTGTCATTATAAAATTTTAATGTATACTGTTTGCACAGCAATCATCTAGGAGCCTGAGGTCTGCAGGATAAACAGAGCAGCCTCATTGCTTTTACACACCTTCCTCTAAAAAAAAAAAGGTGTTAAGTAGAGGAGATTTGAGATTTTTAGAATTTGTATCTCCCTGTTTTCAAAAAAAAAAAAAAAAAAAAACCCTGATTAACGCAGAATGATTTTCTCCATGGACATAAAGTACAAACTAAGGTGACTGTAAACCCAAAGAAGTTAAACACAGTATCAGTGTCTGAATGTAATCTGAAAGTAAAACATAATTCCAAGTTGAATATAATCAGTATGTATACTTCATAGTTTTACTTTTTGAAAATTATCAAGGCATAAATTTCAACTTCCAGAAATGTGTAGTATGATTAGACTTGCTTATATCACTTTTAATGCATAATTTGCATAAAATATTTTCTATTTTAATAATATACTTGCTATAAATATGATAACTTAAATATGAACATTATTACATAGATGTACCAAAATAAGCAAGAATTTTTTTCCTTTGTTTTGATAACTAAGATACATTTTGGGCTAAGAAACATATAGAGAAAATTAAATTTTACTAAGGTTCTCAAGAACCTTTCATGGGGTACCTGGTGTGCTTCTTGTTTAATGACATAAGCATTTTGATAATTTCAGTGCAGCACAGTTTTGCCTCCATAATAGAGAAGTTTAAGTCATTAGAACTAGTAACAACCATAGTGGGTTCTGTTGTTTTTGTTTGTTTGTTTTTGTTTTTGTTTTTTAACCACCATTTAGCAGATTTTGGTCCAATAATGTCTTTGGATTTTAAATTTCCCTTTCTAATCTAATTGCCTTGCCCTAGAAACTTTTTATCCTCAACTACAAAATTTTTTGATCACTTTCTTGGCCTGATCTACATATCAACCCTTTCAGTCAGGCCTTGAGAATCCAGTATTACCAACAGCAAATTTGAGCAAAACTCTCACTTGTAAGTCTATGTTCTTACTATCTCTTACTTTGAGTGATGAGTTATACTTCCATGGCCCTGTTCTCTTTTTTTCTCTCTTTTTTTCTTTCTGAGCTGAGGTCCACGATAAGAAATTTGTTTCCCAGTATGCAATATAAATTGGAGGAAAACTATCCCATGATCACTAGTAGGGCTGCCCAAGATTTGCCTTCTACATCTCTAAACTAAGGTCACTTCTATTACTGCTCTTTCCAGTGACTCCCCACCCATCACTGAAAAGTATGCAGGCCTGAGTCCATGTTATGTGAACTCAATATTGTTTCTAGTGAGCTGCTATAGCTGCTTGAATGCATTTGATTCTTGCATTAATGTCCAGACAGAATCACTGTCACAATAAGGCTTTCTCATTTCCTTAGTATATTAAATCCATTTTCAATTTGAACACTTTAGAAATACTAAATACTTTATAGCTGAAAGCAAGTGGTCAACTGTGGTTAAGTGTCACTGCATAACCTCCTCTTGCTTTACCTAACTCCACTGTGAAATCTCCTCTTTCACTTCCCTCTTCTTGTTTCTTCATGCCCTCCCTGTTGGAGGTGCTTTTTGCCCCTTAACGGCTGTTTCTTTTTTCTGTACAAGCATGAAAGGATATCTCCTTTTGGGAAAAATAAATCCTTATACCTAAACTCACTGTTGTTCAACATGAATGTGAAAAAAAATGTACAACATACACTGGACTTATGGGCCAAGGAAATTATTTCATCATTAAAAGAGTTATTTCCTCACCTTCAAAATAGAAAGAATTTCCCAGGATCATTGTTATTTTTTGTAAAAGTGTAGATACCAGCAACAAAGTAATTAGCATAATGCTTCAATTGCTGACAGTTATAAGTAAGTACATAGGTACCATTTCTGCTTACTCTGTCTTGTCTAATCTATCATTCTGTTTACTTGGTATTTGTCAGTATCTTTTCTCACTTTCTCAGGGTCAACATTATTAAATTCTCTCTAAACTTTTTCTTTTGCCATTGAGCTTTATGCATGATATTTATTAAATGTAATAGATATTTTATTTATCTTGCAAAGCATCATGATAAAGAATTTGACATTGTTGACCTTATCAATGTGCCGTTCTTGACATTTTTTCCTTGTTTCTGCCTGTGGTGTCCCACAAAATGTTTTCTTTTCATTCCTCTCTACAGCATTGAATTGTACATTCTGTTGCCTCCACTTTCTCTTCCACATCTTCTGAGTGAACTTGACAAATCCTACTTCCGGACCCTCCTCATTTCTCTCCCCTCTTGCTATTCTTCTCTTTTCCTCCATTATCCCCTTCCCTCACAGATACTTCTTTGCTTACAACACTAATTTACAAGTATCAGATGAAAGGTTAAATATTTAAAATATTTATTTCTCTCTTAAGCAACATTCTACATTAAAAAAGTAAGGTCTGCTTTCTCCTCTGTTTGGATTTTATTGATACATAAACATAAGCATGTTTAATGTTGACCCCTATGCCACATCTACCCTAAAGGGCAATAAAAAAGCAGATCAACAAATAATCATAACTTAATAAAATGATTAGATCTATTTCTGGTTTAATGATCTAATGATCGCTGAATGTTTCTTAACCTCTACTTGCTCATTGCTTACTAAATATTCTCATGTTTCATATGTTTTTCTTCATGCATCACTTCTTCTCTTCCACTGCACACTTATTTGATTCAAATCCCTATGATCAAAATGCTGGAATATGATTTACAGTGTTTTAGGGGATTTTTTTGTTTTGTACGTACTTATATTAAATGCCTAAAAATATGACTTTGATGATTTTTCCCTGACCAAAAACTTACCAAGATTCTACTTCCTATGGAAGAATATTCCCCATTTCCCAGACCAACATTCAAAAGACCTTCTAATATGACTCTGACAAGTATGTCAGGTCTGAATGTCCCAATTTGATAACTCTCAAAGATATGGTTTTGGAGGAAATGGGTATGGATGGGTGAGGGGTAGAAGTACAAACAAGGAAACTTCAATCTGACAAAACTATTAAATTTGAGAAAGAAATATAGGTGGTTGATAGGCTCAAATGATTGATTTGTAATAACTGCTCAGAGCTAATTTAACAGTATGTTGAACAATGCACTTAGATATGTCTTGCATTAAAACAGTTGTTAATGGGATACCCGAAATTCCCAGATATTTAATTTAATATAATATGATAGAATTTTAAAAGTAATGTCAAATCACAAATATTCATATTTCTGTTTTTATCTAATGTTCCTGAATTCAGGTCTTTTAAACAAATCACGGGCAGTTGAATCAGGGGCTACGAAAAATTTAAGGACTATATTTTCATTATCTACTTTTTAAAATTTGCAGTATTTTCTAAGGTTTTGATGAGTTTTAATTACTGAGTATTTCACATGCAATGATTAATTTATGAGCCATTTCTAGTAGGATATCATTTGTCTAGATTTTGGTTTCTTTTTTTGCTTTCTTTACGGTGAGGATATCCATGCTCATTATTATATTAGATGAAAGTATAGAACTTACAAGTCTATCAATGCCTTCGTATTCCTTAATCTTTAAGAGGGGGAAATGTTAGAGCCAGTATAAGTTACAATTATCATTTCAAAACACTGTAAAATTTGTAATATTTAAAGGTAAAACTTAGCCATACTCCTATTTTCTTTTGTATATTTATTAAAAATTGGCTGATGATACAACTGTGAACAAATAACTGAAGTTTGTTTTGGGAACCCTGAAAAGCAAAGTCTGAAGCCATGTAGCACACAGTGCTGAAAAGATACCAACTGTGACAATTATTATTCTGTAATACATAGCCAGGTTTATTTTTACAATCAGTATGCACTTTCATACTCTCTAAAAATTTAAGCTGAAAATAAACGTTAAGTTATAAAGACTTTAGAATACCAGGCTTCAAACTTGAGATTTTTTTCTGCCATAGAAATAGGTATTTACGAAATTACCTAACTAGGAGAACCAGATCAGAGTTGGAATTTTTGGTAACTGGGAACAGTTCAAAGGGCTGGGGATTTAGTTCAGCAGCACAGCACCTGCCTGGCAAGCACAAGGTTCTGAGTGTGATTCCCGGTACCAAAACAAAAACAAAATCAGGTTTCATAGAAATCAATAGGAACATTTAAAATACCATGGCAGGCAAACAAACACAAGAAAGGGTGTCACACCTCATTAGCTAATGAAGGAAATTCAAACTAGAACCACGGTGAGACATTACGGGACACCTAGCCCAAATTACTAGTGAATGAATGAGCAAACGGTGGTAACAATGTATCATGATGAAGACATGGAGAAGCTGTCACTCACACAGCACAGCTTATGGAACTGTGCAGTGACACAACTACTCTGGAAAAGAGACGTGACATTTCACATAAAATGAAACATACAATTACCATTTGGGAATTTATCACAGGGAAACAAAAAAGTTAAGAGGATATATAAAATGTGTACAGAAATATTTATAAATTTTGTTTTTGTTTTTTTTGTTTTGTTTTGTTTTTGGCAGGCACCAGAAACACTGAGCTAAATCCCCGGCCCTTGTAGTATTTTAGTAGTAATAGCAAAAACTATAATCAGAAGGAAATCCTTTAAGAGTTGAATGGATAAAGAAACTGTGGTCCATATATATTGTGGAATATTATGTAATAAAAAAAGCTAATACATTTGAGGCACACATCAATGGACATAGCACCAGGAAATTGTGTTAAATGACAAAATGATTTCCAGAAGATGGTTAAATATTATATGTAACCTTATTATATAGACACGTTCATACACACACGCACCTACCTGTACAAAGTTGTATAAGAAAATATAATCAAAATGTATGAATTGTATCAATATCAATATTCTAGATGTAACAGTAAGCAACAGTTTTGAAAAATGCTGACCCTGGGAAAAACTAAACAATGTGTGTTGTATACAACTGCATGTGATTCTCGGCTGCAATATATTCTAAACCACAATATAAGACCCTCATACATGAACAGTTGGGCCACATCGTTTTGAGTCAAACAGAGCGAGGTAAAAGTAAGTGATACATTAAATAATCATTTATGAAATACAAATATGGTCATTAAATCTTGGGGTAAGAGAGTCTGAGAAAGATTTAGGGAAACTCAAATTTTGAAACACGTTAAAAGAAAGCAAAAAATGAGCTGGATAGTTTAGCTGACTGGTTTCATTCACGGTAGGTATTTTGGTTGGCATTTTCCTTAATTTTTTATTGTTTGTTTGGCTTGGTTTGGTTCTAGCAACCGAACCCAGGGCCTTCACACTGAGCTACATACTCCGCTTTTTTTCTTTTCTTTTCATTTCTATTCTTTCTCTTTCCCTCCTTCTTCCTTTCCTTCTTTCTTTCTTCCTCACCTTTCCAACCTCCAAACAACCCCCACCACCCATTTCATTTTGACAGTGCTAACTCGCCCAGATAGGTCTTGAAAATGTGCTCCTCTTGTCTTAGCCTCCCAGAATGCTAGGATTAGCTTTGTGATATCATGCCAGGATTTTTGGCAAGTTTTTATTTTCTTTTTAATCACTTATATTGAGAATATGGGTAATATAAGTAGTCAATTTAAATTTTTTTCAAATCCCAATAAAAGTAAAATGAAGAGAATAATAATAAAAATAAGGCTTGGGAGATTAAAAATGAGTGGAGATTTCCCATTCAAATTCACACTTTATGCAATCTTTCTAAAATAAATTTTTTTCAGTTGTTTTATTATTTGCACTTGGCTTTAGGGCTATATTTTTCATTTATAAGATAGGTAGAAAAAGGAAAAACTTTCATAACAATTTAACTTTCTTGTAAGTAAATGACTAATGTACAATAAAATAATAAATTTTAAATATTAAATTAATAACATAAGATCAGTGTGCTGTTTTTGTGTACTTATTGTGAATTGAGCAAATAATTAGAAAATTAGTTTTGAAACTGTGTTCAAGGTAATTTTGAAATAATGTTCTACCTTTATTCACTTGAATGACAGAATAGACTGTTAGTGATAATAAGTGGTTAAAATCAGTATTCTTGACTGTCACCACTAGAAGGAAAATGCTGACAACTTTAGCAGAAAGTATGTTTGAAATACTATACTTCTTGCATTCAAGAACTGTCAAGAAAATATTATGTGAAGAATTAAGCTATGATATGATGTGCATAACTGCAGAATTAAATTATTAAAAAGATTTCACCAAAGAGTATATCAAGTGTTGTCCAATAAAATTAATAGGGGCCGGGGAATTTAGCTCAGTGGTTCTGCTGCCTGCCTTGCAAGCGCAAGGTCCCAAGTTCGATCCCCGGTACCAAAAACAAATAACAAAATAAAAAATAAATATAAAATGCCTACAACATGAAATCTACAAAAATCATAAACACTGTTAACTTGCTGGGTATCTTCTTTGACTCCCTGTGCACTGCGAGCCTTGAGAAAGGAGAAATGGCCGGCCACTTACCTTAATATGAGGACTAAATAAAACAAAGTCATTATTCTAAATTCATTTTTAAACAAATATTTTATCCAATATCAATAAGCGGAGTGTATTTTTCTTGTCTGCATTGCTCACATTAGGCATAACTCTGACGATTAGTTGAAAGCCTACCATGTATGGAGACTGGCGCTTACACATTCTCACTGAGTTACCCAGAGGGATTCCACATGAAGATGAGACAAGAATAGGTACTTCTGAACAGCAGAAATGTCTTCATATCCTTGCAAGTATATGTATGCATACTCAAGGAAGAAATAAGATTTGACTCTAATAAGTAGAAGGTGGGAAACAGCCCTAGAATATTTACCTATTAACTTCTACTTTTGTAGAAAAAAAGTTGGGTGCTATTTCTTTTCCTCTAGGAATGATACAAGAAAAAATTTTAAAACTAGATATTCTCCAGTGAGACTGCGTACATATTAATGACCAAAGACCTGTGGATTAGGTCTTTCAGTTGTGTGGCTGATGAATTTGGGTATGTCTGAAAACTACTAGTTAATACAAAAGGTAGAGGAAAAATACAGAAATCCAAAGAAAAACTAGTTGCTAAACATGCCAATATCCTAAGCCTGGATAGAATTTATTATAAAATGAGAATTTTCATTTGTATAGGTGTCAAAGCACTCTTGCATATTTGTATTATTATCCCAGCTTTGGTCCCAGAATTGGTAGAATACATAAACGGTGTGCATAACAAATACCTAAACAGAATTAAGGGTACTTAATATGACCAATTTATATAACATGTATTTGTCATAAATCCATTTACACTGAGAGTCTGAGATAAAATAATCCAATGCCAATATTAGGAGAATCTTCTGACTAGTTATGCCTATTATCATCAACTCTAATAGAAAACTTTTCTGAAAATTATGCATTAGAGACACAAATTTCAATAATTTCATTCAGAGGGCTGGGGATTTAGCTCAGCGGTTCGGTGGCCTGCTTTGCAAGCGCAAGGACCCGAGTTCAATCCCTTGTACAAAAAAAAAAAAAAAAAAAAAAAAACGAACAAAAAAATAATTTCATTCAGAGTTCAAGAATGGAATTTTCCTTTCACAGAAAAAAATAGTCAAGCATTTTCCACATTATACCCTAATACACAAAATCCACTAAAGCAACACCTGGGAAGCTATTTTTAAAGTAATAAAAATTATTTTCATATAATTTAGTTAAGCCTGCTGTAAACAGAATTATACTTTGTTTTCTACATGGCTGTAAAATTACAAATTTTTAATAGTTATTCTAATAAGTACAAAGATGATCTAACTACCAAGCTCTTACTTTGTTGATTTCTTAATAAAACATATAATTTATTTCACTTATTTTAAAATCACCAATTCTAAGACTCGGCATAATAGTACATGACTGTAATCCCAGCACTTAGGAGGCTGAAGCAGGAGTATAACAAGGAGTTTGAAGCCAGTCTGGGCTACACGGTCAGACTCTGCCTCAAAAAACCAAAACACACAAACATCACCAATTCTTATATAACTAGGCCTTAAAGAGTATGTTCATACACACACACTTTACATTTCGTACAATTCCTGTATATGATTTTCTTCTTTCTTTTCTTTTTTTTTCTCACACAAAATTTTATTTTTATTTTCCCATTAAGTTTATTGGTACATTTTAGGAATACCGATAGATGGTTACATTCATCATTAGGATCTTGTACCTTTACATGATGTATCTTGGTTCTTATTTTTTCCCCATTCCCCTGCCTCCCTTCACCCCCTCCACCCTTCCCTATTTACAAAGACTTTTTGTTTCCATGTTTTTTTTTCTTTTCTCGTATTTTTCTTTTCCCTTCTTTCCTTTCCCCTACCCCTCCCACTTCCTCATGATTTTCTTTTTAGCAAAACTTTAATAGTTTCAGTAATTGCACCTATTAACAAGTCAAGTTACAGTTTTCTTGCAAACCTTCTTTTAATGTGTTTTTCGTTAGCACAGGGCAGTCACCTAAATAATTTATCAGTGTTAAAGATGAAAAGATTTTATGCACTACTATGGGAAAAAAAGAGAACCCAAAGAATATTTTAGTAAGACTTCCAGATTCTTTATTCAAAAATGGTCAGATATGTCATTTTTTGAAGAAGCCTGATTGGTTTTTGAGAACATTTTCTTGCCAAATTCAATGCTAAAGAATGCTCCCTGGGGGGTTTCGTAAAAAGACTAAAGTAGCACAGTTCAAAGAAACAAGTAAAAAGTAAATGGCAATAATTCCATAAAGAATGGCATAGTGGAAACAAAGTTTTTAAAAGCAAGGTTGAAACTTTTCTTGGATCTTCTAATGCACCAGCTCCCGGTGGAGCACAGGAGACAGAAGGGAGCAGGCCTAGGGTTAGCCTGGCAACGGGGCTCCAAGCCTGAGAGCTGCAGGGCAGAAGGTGGGCCCGGAGGGAGGGAGGAGAGCGCACCCCAGACCTGGGAGATACCCAGGTTGCTGCTGACCTCCACACAGGCCCAAGCTGACAGTAATGAAAAGGACTTACACACTGGGGTGGTTTCAAACTCAAATCTTCGACTGAAGACACCATAGCCCGCTGCCGTTCGCGCTCGGATTTGGAAGACGTACACGGAAGCCGGCTTCAGGCCCTTTGCAGTTATGGAGGTCTCCTTGGACTTAATGATGGTGTAGCTGCTCTCCTGGTCCTGGGCCGCACAGGTACAGAAAGTGAAGAAGTCAGCACATGCGTCACTACTCACAGCAACGTTTAGAAGCATAGGTTACACAGGGAAGCAGAAACCAGTGGACTTTCTCCTAGTACAAATATACCATGGAAAAAATCCTACAGGTGTACCGCACATGGTATCTTAAACCGTTGCAGAATTCAAGGTTTTGAATCCATCCATCGTTCTTATCTTTGGCAGAAATAAATTTGTAAAACTCAATACACCTTGGCCGGAAATCGATTATTTCCTCATTTACTGTCATTATCTGTATGCTTTTTCTCAGAAATATTTTACTGCAGCATATATACGACGCTACCTAGTCACAGAAAACGTGGACAATATCTCATATGCATCTGGGTTAGCCTTAAGCTTGAAATCATCAGTGAATCTGCTTGTAATTATACGTAGAAGAAGAAATTGATACTTCATTGGAAAACTTTAATTTTTATCTACTCAATCTAAGCAGGAAATATATATAAAATGCAAATAAGTAGTATTAACTTTTTCCTTTTAAAATTGCCTACCATGGGGAAGGGGCTAAAAGAGTAGTGGAGATAGAATAGAAATAAATTACTGAGAAATAAGTTTGGAAACTGAAACAAGAGAGAACTGTTGTTACTCCGACTGCTTACACAAGTCAAAATGAATCCTTTATAAACCCTCTTCTCTCTGAAGATACCGCATTGACTTTAGTACGGATACTGAAATCATAGGTTAAAATAAAGCAGGTCCGTTTTTACTTTTATACTTGGTTTTCTTATCTTGCAAAATGGAGTAGCAATTGTTGCCTGGATTTACACACAGAAATTGAGAAAGAAAAAAGTAATGTGTGTGAAAACACTTAAGGAAGTTACATGTAATTTTCGGCATTACTGCTTCAATTTTTTTTCTCAATTCTCCTTATATGCCAAAGTTAAGATCCAACCACTTTTATTCTACTAGCAGTACCACCTAAAGCACACAGTCTATAAAGCATTCTTCTTTTGAAATAATTTAGCACACCTCCTTTACTATTTTCAAACCTGTTACCTTTGAGTTAAGTATATCCATATTGTACTCTAAATAAGAATGGTTTAATTTGTAATAGAAATATATATTCTGATTCATTCTAGAAAAATGGCTGTTCTTTAGTTTTCAATGCACATATTAATATGTCTAATCTTTAAAGAATTTTAGAAATTTCCTGAGAGTTTTTTAAAGAACTTAAAAGAGGTAGTTAAATCCTACAAAATTTTACCATGTAGTATCAATTTCTTCACCCACAAAAAAATTTGTTGGTCCTCAACCATCTAGTACTCTTATTTCCTCTTGTCTAGCCTAGAAAGAGATAAAAGCAAATAATCCAGTCATGTATTCTTTTTAAACAGCGTGCACATACACTGTTCAAATAGTACTTAGGTTTTGACTGAATAAACTGGAAAATGTTATTTACTATTTCTCATTATTATTATTATTATTATTATTGCTGGTACCTGGGATTGAACTCAATACCTTGCACTTACAAGGTAGGCATGGTGCCACTGAGCTAAATCATCAGTTAATTTCTCAATTTTGAGAATGTGTATTGTCTGGTATTGTACATTCCAGTTTAGCTATGATTACAGCAGTAAGAAATTAATACCTGGTCAATAATATTTTTGTCTGTTTAAAGAGAATTCAACATGAAGAAAAACTCTTGTCAGAACTAAAATGGGA